AGCAAACAGGGGCTCTCAACCACTACTCCTGCTAGGTTAACAACCTATGAGTTAAAAGCCAACAAACATTGGCGAATAAAGGGGAACAACCGGTACCCACCGCTTGATACCTCTACTACTCAGTTACTTGGCGACTAGGTAACAATCATGTTTACTTGGTCAAACCACTTTCCTACTTGGTTAATTTTACAAATGATAGGACCGCCTGCCTAAAGGGCATCTAGTCTTTAAAATGGTTCGAATACCGATTGGATAAATGGCCGACTGATCGTCTATCCTGGAAACAGACAACTAGTCGTCCAGGGGCATAGGCGGCGTGACTAACTATCCGTACCTGTCTGCAACTATCGGCCATGTAAAACAGTCGGTATAGTGTACAATTGGATCAGAATATTCAATACTTGAACAAATTTGAAGCAAAACAAAAAATTCATTAAAAAGAAGCCGGTCAACAAAGTCCGGCAAAATATTCAGAGCCCCGGTCCCCTGGCCGGGTAAATACAAAACAAACGGCACGCAGGCCGTGGAAAAAAGACAAAGCTTAAGAAGGGGGCAGATCTTCAATATTAGTAGCTTCCGCCTGGTCAGCACTCTTCTTGCTGGACTCGGCTTCAGCTGCATCCTTCTTTGATGCATTACCCCCAAGCGGCACAAGCGCCACTACCGGCTCCTCCTCCTCCAACGCTTCCTCCAACGCCTCTTCCTCAGCAGCCGCCAGGATCTCTTGATTATATGTATCAGAACACTGGCGGTACATTTTTTCCCATGAGGCAAAGTCGGCATTGGGGAAGAGGCGGCCCCAAGTCATGCGCTGGATTTGAGCAGAGTCTTCCATCATCTCCCGGACCAGCTCTTTCTTTTCTTGCTCGGCCTTTTCCGAGAGCTCCTGAGTAAGACTCTTCTCCTGGGCCACCAGGCGTACCTTTACGCTCGCCAAGGATTTCTCCAAGGTTTCGTATGAGGACATCTTTTGGCGAAGAGGTCTCAGCTCGGCCTTAAGATTGTTGATGGTCGCCTCCAGCTCGCTATTCCTCTTCTGGGCCGCCTCTAACTGAGCCCGGATAGCGGCGGTAGCCTGCGCCTGATAATAAAGAATATCAATGGTCAGAACTTCATTTTGGGCAATTTGAAACATTGCCTTATCACAGTTAGAGGCGCCCATAGCTTTTGCAGCCTTTACCTCTTTGTTCTTCCGGTCAAGCGGCTTGCGAAGGCCGTTCACTCGGAGCAGGGCCTAAGTAAAAAAGGGAACAGGCGTCAGTTTCCAAACAAAAAAGAAAACAGGCGTCCTGGAATTCAAATACTCAAAAATATGCTAAGTATACCTCAGCAAGGACCCCTGCAATACCGTCTAGGTCAAGGGTGCCGACACCCCTGACCGCCTCCCTTTCAGCTGGAGGAACGGCCTTGATCATAGACTTGGCCACCTCGACCAAGTCAGGCTCCTGAGGGCCGGCTGCATCAAGCATAAACAAACGGATTAGACCTAATAAAAAAGGGAGCAAGTCTAAAAATTTACAAGGACAACTTCATACTTCTAGGCGGCCCAGCTGGAGTTTTAGAAGAAGTGGCCGGCTGTTTCTCAGCCGCCGCATGTTTCCTGGCAGAACCAGGAGAGCTCGCAACAGTCGTCCTCCGGGCCTTGGGGTCCGGCTGTTGGGAAGAAGAAGCTCTTGGAGCGCCCGTCTAAAAAAGAAGAAAAAAGTCAGTATATGCATAAACACAACTCCAAAAAGAGGGTGAAAGGTTCGAAGCCCACCAAGGGTGCCCCCTTGTTGGGGGAGTCGGTTGAAGCTTGTTGCATGATGGAGGCCCGCAACATGGCCGCCGCAGTCTTGGAGGCGGTAATTTTGCTCATGGCGTCCGCTGCAAAAACAAACAGCAAAGTTAATAAAAGTTTTAACAAAATGCACGGAACAGCAGATTATTCGACAGGCCGACTACCTCTTGAGCACCGACTGCTGAGGCCACAGGCGGCCAAAAAGTACTCGTCGTAGAGCCATTTGAAGCTCGGGACGCAATGCAGGGGTACTTGCTCTCGTACCCCTGAAGTAGAGTTCACCTTCGACTCTACTTTGAAGAGTCCTTTATCTAGGATCTCTTTCTTAGCCTTGGGGGGAACAGGCGGCATGCTTCGGCCGCCTGCAAGAAGGGGCGGATTCCTGTTCCACCTGTTGAAGCACTTGTTCAGCTTTGTGTCTGAACTCTCAATGATGAGGAAGGTGCTCCGCCAGTCCTTCCACTTGTTTGCTTTACCTCTCGTCATGAGGTAGCCCCTGTGGCTCGTCAATTGATACCAGTCGGTACCGCCTGCCTTAGGGGTCCGGCTGAGATAGTTCATATGGGCGAAAACCTCGAAGCTCGGCTCCACCCCGTGCAGTTCGCACCCGGCCACATAGCCGAGTACGTTGACCCAGGAGTTTGGGGCTAACTGCCATAACCCCAACTCATACCCATCCAAGATCCGCTGAACAGCCGGATGTAGTGGGAAGCGCAGCCCAGCCTTGATGGCCGCCTCGTAGCAGCCAAAGCAGGCGCTATCATAACTAGTACCAGCCGGCCAGACGATTGTGTCTTCTGGATCCGGCACAAACACTAAAAAGCCGGGGCCCATTGTGTGGTTTGCAATAAAGCTCTCCACTTTCTCTTGCATGGCCGTGATCAGGCCCCGAGGTACCGTGCAGTAGTAGGGGGTATTTTGCTCTCGGTAAGAGGCGGATGGCTCCGCCCAATTGTCCCCCTTCTCAACTGCGTGAGAAAGCCTCGCCTCTTGCAGGCGACTGTTTTTCTCTTCTGTGTCCAGAGAAGCATGGCCAGAAGAGCTAGACTCGGAATCGTCCTCTGACGAGTCCGAAGAGGACGACTCCTCCCCTCTCCCGGAGGGGCCCGCCTCCTCTCCTTCAAAAGGAGCAGGAGAGAATGAAGAATTGTCAACTGTGAAATGGGAAGGGGTCACTTTGATTCCTCCCTCAGAACAGCCGGCTTTCAAGCCGCTTTGTTTCACTTCCACATCTGGCGCCTGGTCAGATGTTTCACTAATCAGCACCCTGTGGGAGGAGCCGTCTGAATTTGAGATCCTAGCAGTCTTTTTTGTTCTGGCCATCATGCTCTGCATAGACACAGATACAGTCGGACTTTGTATAAAGGGCAAAGATGGGTTCGGAAAAGGGCAGGCGGCACTCCTAGTCCTAGATTCAGCCGTCCCCGGTGACCGGCTGATCACTAACCTAGGTCGTGTCGTGTGCTTCCGTGGTGCCATTTCAAAAAAGAATAAAAAGAAAATTAAGAGTAAGAGAACCGACAGTTACCTGAACGAGTGACGGTTGATGAAGTTCTGAAAATCCTTTGCAGTCGGCTTGTCAGAACAGGCGGTAGGCAGAAAGGGTCCAAAATGTCAGAGCAAGTTCAGGGGTCCGAATGTTCTCAAAAAGTTCTCAAGTGTGAAAATGACTGAAGTCAACACTCCCTTATATAGGCGAAGTGAGAAGGCGAAGGGTCACTTCCAGAATTCATAATTTGGGCGGGAGAATCTCTCGGCCTTTCGCCGAGTGACACCTGTAGCAGGTCGTCGCCTGTTACAGTGCGACACCTGTCACAGGTAACACGTGACCAGTCACGTGCCACCTGTGAGGGGCAAATGATTAGGGGATTTTGCTCCCACCAATCGGAATGCGCCACGTGGGCCAATCAGGTCCTGCCAAGTGTCCCCCAGTTGGAACTGTCAGGGCTTGCCACGTGGCACACGCTTATTCGTCCACCTTGGACCTATTATGTCATGACACGTGGCATACTCCATGCCTAATGGAGAAAACGGGCCACCCAGGCCCAACTTCCGAGGGAAGCCCAATCAGCCCTAGGTTAACCTAAACCTAGGATTGGCACGTTTCCCAAGGTTATAAATACCTCCCTTAATCCTCATTAAGGGGGATTACATGAATATTACGCTAAAAAGCAATTAAACACTCTCACCTAGAGAAGTCAAAAACACATTGATCACTCCTCCCCTAGAGGAACCAGATCTCCCACCTTTACTTTCCGCATTTATTACTCCTCAAACAAGTACTAACTTGACCGTTGGAGGCGGAGCTCCCACCACCAGGAGTCTCCGTTGTTTTGCAGGTACAGGCGTCCGGTTCCAGTCTCGGAATTGTAACTCTCCCGCAGGACATCAGAAAACCCCGAAACACCTAGTATCATGTTAGGATGTTTTTTTTGCTTCCTAATATCATGTTTAGGGTCGGGTAATGAATAAGTTTCTTAAATTAATTATGATTTTTATGATGCTTCCTATTTTCTTTCCTAATATAATGTTAGTATCATTTTAGGGCTAAATCTTTGATCATTGATGTTTAGTGACATGGTAGGGTTTGTTATTAATCTTGTTAGTATCACGCCTAGAATCTTGCTATTAATATTTTCATGATTATTTTTATAATTATTTAGATTATTGTTATGATTATTATGTTGCTTGATATTTATTATTGTTATTACTTGATCACGCCTTTTATGCATGTTTAAAGGGAATTTGTACTTGTAATCACGCTTAATAAGATAATTAATAATCTTGTTTAGGGTTAACTTGATTATAATTCAAGTGATCGCCAATAATAGCTTTGTTTGTGCATTAATATTCAACCAACATAGATAAAAAAATTTAGGGTAAACCTATTGATTGCATGTTACTCAAAAAGTGCACATGAATACGAGAAGAATAAAGTATAAACCTATTTTTAGGGCAGGTTCAGTCTCTTTTAGGTTGGATTTGTACCTTCATCCTTGAACTTCCAGACTTGGTTCCAGACCTATTGGAATTAACGATCTACTGGATCGTTAAGGGGTGTAACTTTCACCCTGTGAACGGTTTACAAGTTCTTAAAACTTGTTGGCTACTCTTTTGTTCTAGCTTCCTTCCCTATGGACGCCACCATGGTTAAGTGTATCATCACAGTGGGTTTCAAGTGTGGGATAATGCTCGAAATTCGAGCACTAACAGACACCTTTTGCCCGATACAAATAACAGTGTAAATAAAATAAAAAACCCTAGTGCTTCGTATCTAACTTCACTTTTCATTCCACAATTAGCCGCCTTCTTCTCTTTTAGACCACACACTCTCTCTCATCCATCATCTCTCAACTCCTGTCTCCCCAAGCAAACGATTTCTCCCGGCTACCACAGAACGACCTTCTACCACCCTCTCATAGTCTCGTTTGTCATCTAATCCTGCCATCTCTCATTTATATTCAAGATCCAATCCTCAGCCCATCTAAAATCAATCAAAATCTAATAAAAATGGCTTGATCTCTTTCCAATTCTCTCACCTCCGCAGCATCCACCCATTTTTTCAATTTTCGACACCTCTCTAACTCGGCAGAGGCATTTCCCGATGAAATTTGGTGGCAGAGGGGGTGGAGACGGTTGGGATGAAGTAAAGAGACGCTTCTAGATATCCTGTGTTAGGTTTCAGATTAATTCCAATCGTTTGTCTCAGCTTATGTCGTCTAATTATTGATCTGCTATTTTTGTAGCTTATTGACTAGTTTAAGGTACTCAATTTATGGTTATGTATGGTACGTTTTGTATAATTTTTCAACTAAGTTGCTCAGTTTGATCCTCAATTAATGCATGATAAGGTTATTTTGATGATTATGTTACCTGGGTATGATGTTATTACTTATGATTTGTGATCTGAAGAAGTGGGTAGTTGTTAGATTTGTTTGTGATGCTATATGTTATGGTGGATCGATCCGATTTTGGCTATTGCTTTGAGGGTTTTGGTTTAGATGAAGAAAATTGCTTGTTTTGATATATCGATATTTTTATTTCTATTTGTTTCATGAGTTTTAGGTTTTTTTGTTGAGGAATTGAGTTAGATCTCGATGATTTTTTTTGCTTAGTTGATGATTTAAGAGTTGGATTTGCTTGAATTTTCTCCTTTTTAAAGATTTATTCACATAATCACACATGCTTGTTTGTTTGCATGATATATGGGATTAAATTACTCAACTGGCCATGAATGATTGATTAGTTTTGTGATTGATAGAAAAGGAATAATATATGTCGAATTTAAACGCACGACTTATTTATCTGATTTTACTTGTGCTGATACTAGTAGAGTTTGCTGATATGGAGCCTCATTTCCCTTGTATCAGACTTTCAGTTCTTTATCTGGTGAAGAAGTGATTTATGGATTTTGTTTTTAATTTATGCTCGCCTTAATATATAACGAGTGCAAGTGATTCATGTTCTTCATTGGTTTGGTAGCTACACAAAAATAACGATTTTCTCTATCGTCATTCTCTTTGTATATATTCTTCTACAGTTTTCTTGAATTTTTCCTATGTTTCTATTGAATTATTAATTAATTGTTGTTTATTGTTGTTGCTGCTGTGCTAGGGAGTGAAAACCATGGCCGAACTTAGGGTTTTTGCTATAAGGTAGTTGTTTTGGGGGTTTTTTGGAATTCCTTGGGATACTGGTCTCGCTCTCCAAACAATGAGACTTGGACACATGCAAAATGAACGAATATTCCTTTATCGGAATATTCACCTCCGACAATCAAGTTAGAGATCTGAAACAGAAAAGGCTAGAGAGAGAAAGTAGAGAGAAGTTGGAGATATTTAATGTTCTTTTGTTGAAATGTCGTAATCCACCCCTCCCATCATAAATGATTGGATTATTTATAGGGGTGGGAGTTTGTGCTCCTTTAGGGTTTGTACCGTAAAATTCCGTGGGGTCGCCGTTTTGCGGCTTTCATGAAAATCTCTCGAGATATGGGCCATGATGTAATAAGGCCTTTTTAATGCTAATTTCAAGGGCTTTTTATGCCTTGGACACGCGATATCTTCCCAGAGTGACACGTGTCGCCCTTTGATTGGGCCACGTGTTGCTACGAGATTGGTCCACGTACATGGTGTATTTTTACCCTAGACAATTGCCCCTCTGAGGGGGTGGCTCATACGATAACGGCCGACTCCTCTGATTTTTTTTACATGCCTTGATACGTACGAGTATACAGAGATTAGGCCGACTGCTGGGGTGCCTGGATCTGTCCGCCCCATTCGAGGTTGGCCGTCTTAGGATGACACGCTGCTTTCGTACGCTAAAGAATCCTCTAGAGGATGCCTAGCTCTGAGAAAGAAGCGGACAGTGTACGCCGTCTCAATTTTCGGAGAAAAGCGGACGTCTATCAATTGAGATGGAAGCTTTTGTTTCGTCTATTTTGTCCGTCATTTCGGACGCGCCATTATTTGGCCGTCTCCTTTTCCGTTCATTCTAACAGCATTGTCCTTTGCCCCCTTAAATTTTAGGTTAATCTTTCAAATTATAACCGTTCAACTTCCTTTGGCGGGAAAGATAAATTTACCAATATGCCCCCATAAATTTTGCCTATATATACAGGGGTTTTGACCTCATTTTCACACTTTGGAACTTTTTGATTTTTAGAGGGAGATCAGAGCTTTTAAAGAGAGAATGTGTTTTTTCTTTGAATCTTCAAGAGCTCCGCCGTGCCTTTGAGTTTTCCGGACGTATTTTTAGTTTTCCGGTCAACTTTCAAGACTTTTCAAGTTTTCTGCACGTACAGAGGTAGGCTGCTTGTTTTCTTTCTCTTCTTTACTTGTATTATTTTCTTGCTTTTTATTTTTAAAATCTGGCTCAACACTCTGCTTCGTCCATTTCTCCTAATGAGGCCGGTCGTTCGCCTGAGACTGAGGAGTCTAGAGTGGACGGAAACGAGTTGTCTCCTTCATGGAGTGGGTCGAATTCTAGGGCGTACCAACTCACCTTCACCTATTCTTCTCTGTCCCTGCAGTCAGACATGGCAAGAACGGTGCAAACGCATGATCGTCATGCGGCTAGAAATCTTGACGGTAGTTTGGTGAATCATTGATCTCCTTATGAACCAAACAACACTGACTTAGAAACTCCTACTACTCCTACGGCCGCTTCCACAGGTACTCATTGCTCGTCCGTGGAAGTTACATAATCCTTTGAGGAGCGCCAACGTGCAAAGGGCGCCTCTTCTGCTGTTGGGGTGTCCGGGCCAACCCCGGAACCTAAGTCCTCACAACAAGCCAACTCGGCCAGGCAATCGGCCGAGTTGCAATCTCGTGAGAGGCCTCCTTCCTCTTCTCGGGCGGCCACTATTGGTCCGTCCGCTTTAGTTCACTAACCACACCATCTCCAACATAGTAGGTCGGACAGAGCAAGAGTTGGAATCTCTATCAACGAGCCGTCCGACCTGCCCCCCCGCAGTGGCCCTTCTTTGGAAACCAGGGCGGCCGCCGTTAATGAAAAGGGAAAAAGTCCCTTAGTTCCTGAAGAGCCTCCTTCAGCTGGGGGCGGCCATGTCTCTAGGAGACGTAGCGCGGCCGAGGCAGCTGACTTGGACAGAGTGTTGTCCTCCGAGTTTGGTATTGCCCCTCACCAAGAGAATGAGGCGGCAGAAGATGAGGCCGAGGCCGAAGGTGAGACGGCCGAAGGAGAGGCGTCGGCCAAAGGTGAGGTCTTCAACATCGACAACTTTAAAGACCCGTACGCCTGTACAGTGGGTAGCACGGCCTTAGGCTACCTCAATGATGGGTTTGAGGAATACAAGGAGTTCCTCCATCTGGGAGAGGGCTTCGAGTAGGTCGCGCCACGGAAATCTCACCAATTTCACGGAAATCTCACCAATGTCCAACAGCTTTCTCACTTCAGTTGCAGCCACCTAATTCCTCTCTTCTCCATTATTTCTTATATTCTGACGGACAAGTTTAATAGCTGGGTTCACAACCAACTTATGCACGACCAGGTTAGGACTTAAACCTAGCATTTCACTAACTTCGAACGCAAAAACATCTCATAGCTTTAGTGGCGACACTGACCGTCCGACCTGGTTGATCGGGGTCAAGCACTACATCTTGTTGGTTGCCGGCCGGCTGGAGTCTCTTCTCTTCTGGCCTGCCGACAGCCATTAGTTGCTATGGTTGGTCGGCCATGACCTGCTTTCGCTTCTGGTCGACCTGGTATGCTTAGAGTGGGGGTTCTTCCCCTTCAACTTGGACGGTTTTCCATGTCCGTGAATCGTTGGCTTAAAAGCCAACTAGTTGCACTCTTTTGCCATTTTCTGACTTCCTTGAATCGAACCAATCTTTCCGTCCGAACGTTCAAACTTTAACAGCATTAAATGATGGATGATCACAACCTTTGCAGCATTTAGGGTGGGACGGCCGAATATAACATTGTAGCCATTCATCTCTTTCACCACCAGGAAACGAACGACCATGTCCCTCCCTTCTCCTTTTTGCCCGAATCGAACTGGCAGATCTATCTGTCCGACTAGGTGAATGATGTTTCCCCCAAATCCTACAAAGGGGTGAGTGATGTCCTTCATAGCATATTCTGGGAACTTCAAATTCTTTAGGGCGGCCAGGCTGATAATATCGGATGAGCAGCCCGTATCTATCAATATTCGGCCCACCTTTAAATTGGCTATGTTCATAATAAACACCATAGCTAACCCAATTATAATAAGATACAAATACATTGTACAATAAAAGATATGGCTGAAATAGTAAGACGGTGTCAGTTTTGGATTGAGTTTGATATTTTATTCATATCTTTTCCGTTATAGCTCTAAATTGATATTATAATATATAACTGGAAAGATATTATAATTTATTCTTATCTTTTTATCCAACCATATAAGATTGGATAAAAAGTATTAGGCACGAAAATAATATTAGTCTATCTTTTAATGTCTTTCAATTCGAATAGAATTAGGACTTTCAAAAAGAAAATTTTTATTCAATATCAAACTCTTTAATCTTATCTTTTCAAAAAGATTAATTAAGATCTCATAGAAACTTATAGAAACTTCCAATAAATCCTAATTAGTTTAGGAATGGGATTAAATAATTTGGTCGTAGGTAAGGTGGACTTAGGTTCGGTTTGGACTCAATTTAGTATTTTGCCATAACTTATTCGTTATAACTCGGATTTTGGCTTATAATATATCGTTGGAAAGCTCTTTTCAAATCCCATCCAACTATTTAATCATTGTACCTAGATTATGGACCAAAATAAATACTAAACACTTTTATAAAATGGACACGAAATGATTGAAACACGAAATGATTGATTTTAAAGGACACGAAATGAATTATTGTGGATTTAAAGACACGAAAAGAGGAAAATAAGTTATGGTTTGGTTAAATGGGCTAGGAATTGGTTTGTTTATGAAATGTATTGGGATTGAATATGAATTTAAGCACTCCAAAAATTAAATATTCAACCCGACCAATAATGAGCGATGAAAAGTTGTTCATCGTCGGGTTTGGTTTTGGGGAGACATTTTTAGGTGTCTACAATAACCTGCTGTGATTTTAATTGAGCCAATTACTGAATCATGTCAAATTTCTTATAGGGGCTAACTGGCGTACCAAGGAACCCGAAATTGCTGCAGAAGGTCCACATAGTCATTTATGAGTGCCATGTATTCTGTCGCCGCACCAGGAACGCATTGTCGCCAAGTGTTAACCCGATCGCCAGATGACAATATTGTCATTTAGCAACAGAGTCAAGCTTTTCAACTAAAAACTCCTTTCTTCGCCATTACTGTTGTTTGTTGGTTCATTTCGCTCTGAACCTTCAACTTGGTCGTTTCCTATTAACCAAATCTGCTAAAACCTTTTACAAATTAAAGCTCTTCATCTCTAATTTATTGATCCATGTTAGTTTTGCTCAAACTCCTCTTATCTTGGAAGAATTTCATGCGTTTATATTCACGGTTTTTTGAAATAAAATCCGAGAACATTCTTGCTCGCTTGCTCTTTGGAAGTGATAGCTTATGATGCCTTGAAACTCTGTTGAAAACTCTATTCTTCAGGATTTACCGAGTCTGAGGTGCTTGAATAAAATCTTGATGTGCTCGATCAATCAGGTCGATCGTCAATCTAACTGCGATCAGGCTGACTCTAGTTGATTTGCTAAGCCATTTGCGTCCTTTTGCTCCAATTCTTTTTACCTGCATTTATATTTTGGACTATAGGACTTTGCTCATATTTTCTTTAGGGGTTGACCTAAGGCTCAGTGTTGCTTGACTCATTGAATAATACTTAATATGTTTTTAACACATATGACTTGTCATGACTCGACTCAAAGCGTTTTGACACACATGGCTTGACATGACTCAAGGTGTAAACTTGACTTAATACGATTAACCGACTCGAGGTCGACTCAACTCGATTGTGAATTGTGTGTGCAAAGTATTGACTCATGAGACTCGATATGTACATGACTTATGTGTGCATTCTACTCGAAAACGCAAAAAAAACAAAAAAAATTTGTCATTTTTGTGGAGGGTACCGACTTTCTCCCGAAAAAGAAAGACGCAAAAAGACAAGAAGTGAAGTTTTTGAAGGTGCTTGTTGAATGAGCTTTAACAAATGTTTGGATCAACGTCATATCTTAGGGCGCGAAGATTGTAACATCGTAGGATATCTCCATTGTTAATTTTAGATGAAAGTATTTAGGAAACTTAGGCACAGAGACTAAGCACTTCGAATTTCGTGATGCAATGATGACAAGTTATGCTTCCACGTTATGTTAAGATTTCAGACAAAAGGTTCCTAAGGGAAGTATCATTTGGTCATATATCCGTGCAGTGTGTGAAAGTAACACTAAAGCTAGGCTGCAAAGGCCAAGTGTATGAGAAAGTATTATAAGAAGAGCCAGATAATGGTGACTCTTTAGGCTAGGTAAGCTAATGATGTAGGGATCAAGCCCCCAAGTCTAGCTCTACATGGATAATGATGAGCATTGAATATCCCTTGATATAATC